ACACACCACGAGCCCATCCTGTGCAGCCAGATCCTACTTCATACATCCCCACAAGCAGCTCCAGATCCTCTTCCCCTTCAGATGGTTCCCATCACGCTCTGCTCAGGCCATCTTCCTAATCACCCAGCCTCCCAAATGGAAATTATGACCAGTAAGTACAACACACTGAACTATTTCTTAGTCCGAGAGATGAAAAACAGTCTCCTCCAGCAGCAAAGATAGACTGTTACAGACATAGCTGGCTTCAAACTGGGATTAACCTCTTCATTTTTGAAAACTTTCGAGAAGTTTCCTTTGAGGGTAAAGCTGCACTCCTGGAACAGAACTGTTGCCCAGGAACTGAAGTACTTTCTTATGCAGGACACCCCACGCCCCGACCCCAGATCAGGGATCATCGGGGAATGGGAGAAGACATAAACAGCAATAAAAGGGAAAAAAAATAAGAAATCATGGAGAGGAGAGAAGAATGCATGCAGGAGAGCTTGTGAGACACCCAGAAAAAAGCAAGTATGATTGGAAGAGACTTCACTGCTTGGGACTGAGGAGGACAAGTGCTCAGGACAAAAAACAGCTTCCCAGAACAGGAGGAAATACGGCATGGGAATAAAGAAGAGTGAAATATTAAGGAAACCTCAGTGCTGGGTGATGAGAGAAGAATACTAATGTAGGACCCTGGAAAGGAAGAAGCCAAGTCATGCCCTGGCAATGCTGGAGGAGAAACTGCTGGGGTGAGGGGAAGAAGCCCAAACCTGCAGCACCTGGGCTCAGGCAGACAGACAAAGCTAAAGGGGAAACCTAACCCTGCTGGCCTGCCTGCAGCAGCCTTTGAAGACACAAACCTCTGCTCCATCTGACCGGACATGTCTCTGTTAAAGGTGTCACTGCCAGCACCCAGCCTGCTAATCCCCACAATGGCAAAACAGCTAGGCGCTCACCTCAACAAACCAGAGACTCCCCCCAGCGTGCAGCTGAGGCGCAGCTGGTCTCCCAACTGACGCAACCCAATTTTTACATGTTTGGATTTTTGGTTTTTTCCATGCTTCAGAAACCCCTTCAGTTAAGTCCCATTTGAGTTAGGAGTCTGTGAACAGAGAAAGCGATGAGAAGGGGGTGTCCCACGACAGGCCTCCCAGATGAGGCCATCAGCACTCTGAAAAGACTTTAGGGGAAAGGAGCCATTTTATCCCCTTTTGGTAAACCTGCCTGGCCACGCAGCCCTGCTCCAGCATGGCAAAGTGGGAGTAACAGAAACAGAACTGCCAAACCCAGCCACCTTCCTGGCAGGCCAGCAACCCTTCCCCTGTGCTCTCCCCAAAGCCTTCCTGGGCACATGACAGCTTAGCTCCCCACAAGGAAATACAGTGGCCTGCTCGGGTTTTGCGGTTGAGATAATTCATTATGCTGCAAATGTCGCTTCCGCCTCCTGGCACACGGTCAGGGTGCTGCTGGCAGGTTGTGGCTCACCTGCAAAAGTCAGGCAGCTGCTGGCTGTGGGGAAAGGGAGGTGTCAGCTTAGCCACAATGACGAGGGACAGTTCTGCCCAGCTGTGCCCCTTAGAGTTAAAAAAAAAAACCAACAAAAACCCCAAATAAACCAACCTACAAGATAAAAAAGCCAAGAAAAGTTGTTGATGATGAACATCATCAAGGAAACTGTTTCAGAGAAACTTGTTTTAGGCTCTGCCATAAGCTCCCTTTCACTCTCTTTTGAGGTGAGGTAATGTTTCAATTATATTACTTAGGACCTAAGTGAAGTACACAAGTCCAAATAAGGCTTGTAAACACATAAACAACTATCCTATATGCATACCAAAATACGTCAATAGAGGATCACCATTTATTTCCTTTCTACAACTAGATGCTTACTATGAAAATTTACATTGAATTGGTTCTTACCAGCTACCATATAATAACATGCTGCTTCTTATAACCTATGCATTTCAAGTGATTCACAGACTGTAAAAATAGAATACTTTCCTCCAAAAGACATTAAAATGAAAGTTTGCCTGGGTAGTAATTATCTTTTTAATTACATAGGTCCATTCTTTGCAGAGAAAAGATGCATTTCCAGATAAAACATCTCCAAACCAGGGCCCACTGATTGCTGTTTCTGCAGCTCCATAATTAAAGGCACTGCAGTCTGAACAGAAGTGGCAGAGGGTCTCACCCATAACAAAGGAACTACAGGAGTTTAAACAAGAGCCATATTTTCTTCCTTTATGACTTTGCGTTTCTAATTTTCTGCATCAAAAAAATCCTTTTTGCACCAGATATGTGTATGGCTCCTTCCTGTTGATCTAAATGAGAGTTTGCACACTTCTCCAAGAGCCATAACAGAAGAGATGTTGCTTTCTGCTCTGTAATTTCACCATAGGCATCATCCAGGTCACAGCCAATGTTGCTAGACTGAAAAGATCTTTCTGATGTCTGTTACTGTTTTTCATGGTGAATTCCAGGAATAAATTAAGTTGTTGTACGTTTTTAATTACATTAAATCTCCACTACAAAGACACAAAGATTTTAAATAAGGTTTAGATCCTGCAAGATCCTAGGTTCCTGAAGATGACTCTACCATGGGTGAATCTCATATTTGAAAATGAGATGCTTGAGATAGTTGCAAATATTGGACTGATACAGGCTGATAAACAAAACATTTTTGTGAATTCTTCTCCTTCACTTATTAAAAACATAATTGATCACATTTGAAAGAATGATCTTATGTTTAAAATCATTAAAGCAGTGTTGTATCTTGTTCTCTGGTCAGGGCATTAGTCTAGCTATTATAATCCCTGTAAGGATTAACCATGCTGACAACTGTCCTTCTTGGATGACTTGCTTAAGCATTTTTCGAAACTCAGGAACTGAGATAGTTGAAATTAACAGCTGTGATAAGTCATAAGGAAAATTATTTCAACTAAGTAAGTAGATGCTGTAATGCTACTGGCACAAGAATAGCAGTGGACCCAATAAAACTGATCTTGGGAAAACAGGTTGCTAGCCACAAGACACCTGGCTGCAAACACTGGCAGCCATAGCAACGGTTTCAGTAACATGACCTTTCTATTGCCCGGTTTCATGCTGTGTCATTTATCTGAATCATAAGAAAGAAAGTGCTTCTATCCTCAGTACAGTCCAAAATGGACTGATCTACTCTTTGCCACCTGTGTTGTTCAATTCTCGAGGCCACAAGTCCCATTGCAGGTACATGTGGTTTGACAATAAAACATAAAACTGTCTTTGCATGTATTTTCTCATAAACACCGGGTCTCCTGAACAGTATTCTAAGGTACAAGAACCTCCTTCCTGCTAATCTTGATGTTCAGCTAGGCAATCCAAGGTGGTATCAGACATGCCAAACATCTACTTATGCTGCCAACCGATCTTTCCCATACAAATACACATTCAACACAGAAAAGAAGTAAATGTCATCTCCTGAAAAACAGGTTTCAGGGATTATTTCTGAAGTACAAGGTAAGAAAGGAAGGTGCTTAAATCTTCCCCTGGCTTAATCTGTGCTGCAGAGCTGCTTCCTCGTCACACTGGTTCTGGCAAATTCCGTAAACCAGGAGTGTAAACCACTACAGCAAACACTGTAATTTTTATCTAAAGAACATTTATCTGCTAACTGTCTATTCTCACATGAATGGAAGCATCATGAGCCCCAGAAGCACAAACCATACATTGTGGGTGGCATGAAATAAGAAGTATACTTTTATACTGAAGATGCATGAAGCAGAGGATGGTGAGAGCCACCACGCTAGTTCTTCAGGGGCCAGCGTCAGCCAGTCCCCGGCCTGTTTTGCTGGCTCTGAAGGGCTGCAGCACTATGCAAATTCAGTTTTTCCCTGCTTCCCCGTGTGTTTAGAATAAGATTAATTTAGGTTGCAACTAAGCAAACAAAACCAACCAGCTTCCTAAAACTTTAAACATCTCTCATTACTCCTGTCATTACCATCTAGGTACAGCCACCACAGACTCATTCAGCCACCTCGCTGCAGGTGAGGAGAGGAGACACTGGACTCACATTTCAAACAAACAAGTTAAAACTCCCTAATTTTTGTTGTAACAGAATCATTCTGTGAATTGAAAACATCTGCTTAAGAGTATCTTTTTTAGAGGAGGTGGCCCTGCTCATTCTCTGAGGGCTGCCAGAGGTAGAGCACTTTCCTCCTCCAGACGACCACATGCACACAGCAATGAAGATGAAAATCTGTGCACGGGACACGTTCTCCCCACAGCTTGCTGGCGAGTACAGAAAGCCAAATACTTCTCTAACTAGGGCTGTCCAGTGTTGGTTTACTAACAGTCATTGAATCTCCATAAAATCCATGGGTTTAAGCAGAAACACCAAATCTCTAGAACCAATTCATCTTCTCAGGCAAAGCACAGCTGACACTGGGGCAATGAAAAGATAAGCTCACTGGGCTGTGTAACAACAGCTGAACAATAAGCTGGCTAAAGGAAGGGTTTGTCGTAAGGTATCGCTCACAGCCTTGAAGGAGGCTGCTTAGCATGAAACACTGGGGAACCAGGTGTGCGGCTGCAGGCTGTTCTTGTTCCTGAGGTGGTATTTGCTCTCACCACAGTCATGAAGCCTCTAAGACACGGAGAGAACTGCCTTCAGCCCATGGAAAAATTACTAAAGTAGCAACAGGGAAATCGACTGCCTCAATATGAGTATTAACTTTGCTCTCCGCTGGTAACAAAGGAGAGAAGTTTTTGTTACTGAAAGAAATTCAGAGGGAAAAAGCTGAACAGCAAACAAAGGCAACACTGGTCAGTTCATTCTGGCACACATCAGGCTGCAATCCTGCTGCCAATGTCAATGTATTACACGCTGTGTAGCTATAAATTTCAATTGTGTTTGAATAAACACCAGCGTATAGAAACACTTTGGGTCTGCCTAATGCATTCTGTCCATAGACAGGACACAATCACTCTATTTCTTCAAATGAACGGCCCCAAACTTAAAATCTTAATTTCTCTCAAAGTACACATACCTGCAATCCCTTGTAGCAGCCCACAGACATTAAAAATGCTTTTCTTCATAATACTCTGCACACACATAGTAAAGACAGACACAAAAGCCACGGCACAGAGAATCATGATTCCCACAGCTAGGAAAATAGCGGTTGCCTGCCAGAACCCACTGGCAATCTCATTGAAGTTTTCGGCGTACGGACCACAAAGCGTGTCTCGCCTAGAAAGCTGCATGTGGGAAATTCTGGTGCAACGCCCATAGATGCCCAGCGTCGGATGGTAAGGCTCCTGTGATCCCCCTGTTTTGTTGTCCATATCCTCGGAGCTTGAAGGCTTCGCTTTGCCAATCAGCCAGTCTGCGCTCATGAAAGCAATGAGCTCTGCAAAAGCCACTACAATACTCAGGAGAGTCCATAGCATCGAACGACACGTTACAATGACATGACACATATTGATGTCTAGTGCTTGTGAACAGTGCAGCTGATGGTCTTAAAATCCAGGCACGAGAGGGAAAAGCTTGAATTAAGAAAGGAAAAAAGGACCCTAAGAAGATCACTGTGGCTACTCCGTCTGCTCTTCCAGCTCTCTCACAAAGGCCAGGATGAAATTTCTCAGCAGAAAAAACGAACGGTCCCAAGTTTTGCAAGCAGTGCAGTCATTTGTTCTCTCCGTGTAGTTCCTCCTTTTTTCTTTCTGGGATGCTGAGCTCTGAAGTACACTTTTCTTTCTTAATATTCATGCTGGCACATGACGCTGCAGGCTGGCGGGGGAGGCTGCAAGGACTGCCCACTGTCTGACATCACACACCTACAAGAAAAAAAAGAGACAACTCATCAGCAGTGAGAAAAAAGTCGTTGTTTCCACTCGCACAAAGAGCCAAGATCTCCCGCAGATCCACGTCAACATGCAAAAGCTCTAAAAAGGGCCCGTCAAACACAGCCTGCTGGAAACTGCCCAGTGTTTGTCCCAGGGGAGTGATTAATCTCCCGCTGCCTCACTGTACTTATGGTATCTGCTCTGCCCCATCCAATTGCGGGTGTTTGTCAAGCACTTTGCAAGCAAGGGTCTCCGTATGCCCAGAGGTCCCACCCACTCCTACTACCACGCCCCCATCATCTTGGTCCGGTTGAAATTACCAACATTGCTGGCAGTTACCCAGTAAAATGTTCGTACACGTTTAAGTGGTTTCACAGACACGCAGCTCCTGCCTTTGGTTTGGGGAGGCAGGACGGCACTCCTTCAGGAAGAAAGCTGGGCGCAGTTCCACGTGCTGGGGGCACCTGGGTGCAAGGGGCAATGAAAGAACCTTGTTCCAACCTCCTGGGCTTCCGCTGACTGCAGCTGAGCCAACCCCGGCCTTGACAGGAGGCAAACGGGATTGCAGCTGGGGACAGCCTGCCCTGTGATGAGGTGACACAGCCCATCCCCTTGAAACCTCAGTTTTGCAGGAGCAGTGCCTCTCTGGGTTATTCAGTTTTGCACTCGTGTTTCAAAAAAAAACAACCAAACACAAAAATCAATCTGCCTACAGTTATGTCTCACACCGCACCCCAACTGATGCCAATACCGGCAACCTCTGGTGACTTCAGCCACTGTAAACAGGAATCTGCGGAAAAACGCTCCAGCTGCTGCCAAGTGGCCAAGAGCCCTGGTGAGAAGGATGGCCAGTGAGCCTTGAGCTTCCTGATTCCTCCTAAATTCCCCCCTTTCACAATCCTGTGCATGCTGGGACTGCAGCAAAATGTTCCCCAGGGCTTTCTCCAAGCTTTTCAACAGTAGCTGATGACATTCCCAGAGTTACACTTATCTTAGTGCAAGAGGCAAAGCAGAGATGGCTGCACTTCCAACTCGTATCCAAATACTGGCCTCAAAATAACAAGCGGGTCATCACACATGCCTCTGCGCTTGAACTGAAACTGTGTCCCCTGAAAGCAAGGGTGGGAGCAGGAAATGCCCTCACGTTACCCGCTCCGCAATGAGAATGTAGCACTCCCAAGTTTTCCTCACAAAAATCAAAATACTGAACTGGAGACAACAGAATCAAGAACTGGACCTCACTGGTGCACTCCTGCCAAACAGCAGATGCCAGAAAAAATAGACATCCCAGATTTCTTTTACCTTTCTCATGGGGTTACTGTTTAATTTCTTAGCAGTTCTGAGCCCAGTGGTTGAATCCTAGTCCCACTGAATGCAAAACAAAACACACACCCACAACTCCAACACATTCAAAATTTCATCCAGCAATTTCTACCCCCTCCTATACTAGTCGTAGTGAATCATCCACAAGATTTTATCCACATTTCTCTTCCTTGTCTAGATCTGCAGAGTCCTCTGGTACTAACAGATACACACAGACTTAAGCTGCTGTGCCAACAACTGAATTTTATCTCCCTTTATTTGACATTACATAGCATTGCCTTAAAAAAGGCAAAACACATTTAGTTGTGCTTTTAGCCATACTGAGGTAACAGTTCAGCTCATTTTCCATTTTTTTCGGGGAAAGCATGAAGTTTTCAAGTAATCTGACATACTGATGACTCAAATACACCCTTTGTAATAACAGAGAGCTGAAGTGTCAGCCTGCCAAAATAAAGTTAATTCTCTCAGTATTTCCACTTTAAATAACAACTGGAATGTAGGAAATGTCCTCTACAAACCTACATTATTTCGATGTCATCTGCACGACTGAAGAGAATTTAATAGCAAATGTCTTTTATTTTTAGGAGAAGTTCCAAAAATGTCTAGAATCTGTATTTCTGTGCAAGCACCGCACCCATATTAACTCTATGTCTTTCTAATTCCAGGATTCGAATTGAAGTACAAGGAACATAAGAGCTGAACACCCATCATAGTTCTTACTGCTTCCTCTGTACACATTGAACATAAAATACTGTTTATTGAACACAGACGGGAACAAAGTTCATATTTACTCAAGTAGGTGGAAGTTCCACATGAACACTGGCAGCCGCAAAAACATGCCACTGATAACAAACGTGAGATGCTGCATTAGATTCAGAAGAAAAGGCAAAACCATGGAGTTCTTTCCCATTTGAAATGCAAGTGCAAGAATAAATTGCAGTCATATTTTGAAACACTGTATCTCCAGAAAAGTCACTGCATACGCAAAATAGCCTGTCTAAAGATGATATGGAGGTTGTGCCGAATTTGAGGACGTCACCGGAACATGTATTCCCCCATTTTGCAACACAAACTTCACACCATCCGAAAGAGCAAATGTCATCAATAATTAGAGTACAATCGAATACACTTCACTTTCCAAAAGAACCTTCACAATTTGGTTTTCCACAGGTACCAAGTACTTTATTTTGGTACAAAACGTATCTCCAGAGCAAAGTACCCTTAGTCATGGGAGAAGTTCTGCAAAATTTATTCTTGCAATAGTGACGTCCTTGAATGGTAGACACCACGCACCTAACTCCTTTTGGTGAGCAGAGGAACAGAAACATAAAAAGCAGGACGGTGCATAGACCGGGATGGGTAGGGCAGATAACGTACTGGAGATAAGTTACAGTTCAGTCACACCTGTAGAGTTAACCTTTTCCTTCCAATGTGCCCCACCCTGAGTTTCCAAATGAACATAATCCATTCTCTCATAGCTCCAACAGCACGATTGTGCCACGCATGAAAGCCTTTCCAGATACAGACTGTGCTAAGTAACTGCGCTTCGTGAAGCTTCCCTCCAGCTGTTTACCCCTTTTCTTCCATTTCCCTCAACAGAAACTCAAGCTAGTCCCTTGCGAGGCTGAAAACTGGCTGTTTACTCCTCCTCTTCCCCATCCTTCAACAAATTTTTTCCATGACAGAACTGTACGCCCTTCACAGCATGCCACTCAATAGCTACTTCTGACCAACTGTCAAAATATTTGCTTTGACAGCCCAAAAATCAAAATATACAGTACGTCTTTAACCCCTTTGGTATCAACTAATTCAAAATACTTCTTGCTGAGGAAGCAGACTACAAAAAGCAGGCTTGCTCCTTAGT